TTTACTGTTGAGGAGGAACATGATGTAGGTGGCGCCGTCAGCGTGGCGACCACCAATGTTACGCCAAAGTTGATGATTCCAGAAGGTACTCTCATGGCTATGGTCCTCGCGAACCCTCCCAGACCACGCTGTAGTGCTGCGGCCTATTGGGATGGGGTCACGGTGCCTGTGGCCACGTCGATCCAGGTGTGTACCTCGCGAACGAATTCGCGGAAAGAAACATTGCCGGCAGGGTCCCAGTGGGGGCCCGTAGTGCGTGCGTCGTCTCCGCCACGCTGCATGCGCCCCACGGCACGCCCGACAGCGACCCACTGGAGGCCAAATATGGTAATACCAATCCAATGGCCCCTTGGTCATGGTCGGATGTTCGCGGCTGGGGGTTGTGATGTGTTGTGGTTAACCTGCGTGGGGGTGGAGGCGGCACAAGGTCATATCGCATGTTACCATGATTTGTATATTTAAAAAAGTTTCCAAGTGGGGTAGGAAGGTGGACTTCAGGAGTGCAGTGGCGCAGGGAATTGGGACTCATGTAAGAGGCCTACGCGAGAACGGAGGTAGCGCTGCAAGTGTCCTTGCGGTTGTGCGTAAGTATGTACATTCCTCCGAACAAACCCACTGCATCCTGATGTTCCACCATGTCAGTGGTCCACCAGAGAGTGCCGTGGATGGTGAGGAGTAGAGCTAGAGCTGACCACCTATATCCAGCTCCGCCACCAAGTTTGAAAGGGGCTGGGAGGCCCAACCAGAAGCGTCGCCTAAGGCGAGGCCCATATCATATCCAACTTTGTACCGTAGTAGCGGTCGTCCCAAAAGTAGGAGATCGTCGCGGGAGCGACGGTCCATGTCAAGCGAAGATGTCTGCGGTCCCAGTGGCAAGTAGTGTGTCTCAAGATGAGGCGCAGTCATATATTGGCGGTCGGCCGCTTGAGCACAAACGGCCGCGGACAAACGCTCGCTATCTCTCGCCCTTGCCCCAGCCTCCTTCAGAGCCCCCCCCCTTTTTCCAATGGCCCCCCCCTCTCTATCCAGTGGCGCTTACTTGCTTGCTCTTGCGTGCTTGCTATCGCTTGCTTGATCTTGTTTGCCCTTGCTTGCTTGCACTTGATCGCTGGTTCTTGCTTGCTTGTTATTGCTCGCTTGCGATTGCTTGCTTCCGCTTGCTTGCTTGCGCTTGCTTGATTTTGCTCCTTCCGTCCTCCTCCCGTCCTGATCCCGTCCTCCTTTCGTCCTTCTCCCATCCTCCTCTCGTCCTCCTCCTGTCCCCCTATCTATTTGGAGTCAACGCTAGCTGACATTAGTTGTTACACGGGTGGGATTTCCTTTCCAAAGCACGGCTCTCGCTGAATGATAAGCGCATGGGGCGGTCATCTTCCGCGCGGATACTTCAAGTCATCAAACGTAGTGGTTGTAGCGACTGATGCGGAGGGAACTTGGGACATGAGGATGTGGGTTAGCATCGTAGGTGCATTATGGGTTTACTCAACTCCTCCTCTCCTCCTCCTCCTGCTCCTCCTCCAACATCAACACAATCACACGACAACTCGCCGCTTGGGCCTCGCCGCCAGTCCAAACAGCGAGCATAACCTAGGCACAGCCACATCGAGGCTTCCATGGAAACATGTCTGCAACCAGCAACAGATTTGGTGCGTCCCCATCCCTGGTCACATCGCAAGATCGCAGACGCGGGCACCGAAGCTTCGCTGTTGGTTGCCCACCCGCGGGTTTCATCATAAGGTGCACCATCTATGAGTTGCGCCATTGGTCGCGCTTCAGGCTTCGCCATCTCCACGGGGCGCGCCGCAAATTGCCCATTGATTGCCCGATACATGGGTTGCGCCGTAAGTTGCGCACTTGGTTGCGCCACAGGTCGCGCACGCGGAGCACTCGGTGGCCGAAAACAAAACGGCGTGCTACCGGGTGGCGACAAAAGTTGCGCACTCGGCGCCCGAGAATGAAACGGTCTGCGTAGGGATGGCGCCACAAGTTGCGCACTCGGCGGCCGATCATACCATGGCCTGTAGTCACCATCGTCACTCCGCGTAAGCCACCATCAAACATCATCAAATGTCTAGTTGGGTTCGTCGCCTCGATTCATGTGCCTCCCGCCCGTTTACTACGCATCACAGCCACCGTCATCGACAACACTCAATCGTCATAGTGGCTGCCTATCAACCCTCAGCACCCATCATCATGGCTGTTGTTGTCGCCATTTAGAAACATCCCCATCATCAACAAATCATCGGAATCACCATCGCCATTTACGCGTTGGCACATTGACACATGTAAATCCCCCTTCCCCAGGAGATCGTCCTACTTAGCCGCCCTCGGCATGGCATTGTCCGTACGAAAGCCTAGATACTTCAGACTATTACTGTCAGTCGCGTCCTTTGCAAAACGTTAGACTCACGGGCCACATTTGGGCACCGCAAGCATGCAAAAAGGTCAGCGAATGGAATACAGCAAGAGTTGAGGGAGAAGGCCCCAGCGCATTCCCTACCAATATGCATGTCGAAATGTCCGTGGCACGCGCAACGTGCAATGAAGGATCGCAACCGCACCGCGCTAAGCAAATCACTCACCAATGCTTCCTTTGACAGACGCGCGCGCACTGCGACACACATGAGCAAAGCGCGGCTGCATGCGGAGGCCGTGCAGAAAAACACTGACGTTGGGAATGTACCCCCAGATCTCCAATCGACGTCTTTTCTGTCCAGCCCGCGGGCTCAAAGATCTGCCGGCAACGCTGCGGGCGCCGGGCTGTGAAGCTCCCTGCCGGACTGCTGATGTCTTGTGTTCTTCGTGATATCTTTTGCGCTTGCCTTGTGCCTCCGATGCTGTCTCCCTTCTACTGTCTTCCGGGGAGCTCAGGCCGTCGAGCAAACATCGGAGGGGATCCCTTCAATTCCTGGCCGGTCCATGCTGCCCTGACATTTCCACAGGACGCCATCCCACGGCCAGGACGGCCCAAGAGGCCTCGAAGACGCCCCCCGAAGAGGGCTTCAAGAGCCCAAGACGGCCGACGATAGCCTCAAGATGCGTCCAGGATCATCCCGAGACGCCCCCGAGAGGGCACAACGTGGACAAAAACTGCGCGTCTCAATGTTTCTCCCCTGTCCCACGCTTTTTCAAAGATATCCCAAGGTCGTTTCAGGACTGCCCTCCAGAGTCCCAGTTTTGACAGCACTGAGATGACCTCCAAAGGCCCCGCGATGCCGCCCAAATCGTCCAGCATGGTCCAACAGACCCCCACTATGGTCGTTAAAGGCTTAACAACTTCTGCCGTCTTTCGACTCGCGCTAGAGCGGCCGCGAATTGCTCCAACTTTCCCTGGAGATCTCTGAATTTACTTAGATTTACCCGGATTTATCTCGATTGACTTGGATATACCTGAATTTACTTCGACTTATCTGCATTTACCTGGATTTATCTGGCTCGATCCCCACAAGTCGATTGGCGAAAAGTCCACAAGCCCTTAAGGATATGGCCCCAAAGCGCCCCCAAGATGGGCCGCAGAGGCCACAGGCCGAGACTGCCGAAGATGGCCCGAGAGCCCTCAAAATGCCACCCGACCGGCCCCAAACGCCCCGGTCGAACAAAAACAGCACATTCCGCCTGTGGTTCGGCGGCGCGCACAAGGGGGTATGGGGGAGGGGGGAAGGCCTCTTAGAAGCCTTCCGCCCTCCTCCCGCCCCCCTCTGCGCGTGGCCGAGTGGTCTGGGCCCGCACCCTCAAACTGCTGCGCAAGTTCATGTACACGCGCTCACTCAAGTCTGTGACGCGCGGGCGCATGGGAGACAGCAAGAGACGACGGAACACCCCGACGTACAGATTTGCGCAATGCAGCCATGCCCGATCGCAATACACTCGAAGGATGTGCTGCAGCGCGTCCACGGAGAATTTGCCAGGCAACAGCGGACGCATTCCGGCGTGTCGCCTTCTGGGTGAGTTTGATTTGACGTTGCATCTCGTCCAAACTCCGTTCTCCCCCCTCGGGAACGGGTTCACACCGCCTCAATGCAAGAAAACGTTCGCCAGCGTGTACTATACTCACAATTTTTGCGTTGGGAATGCGCAAGCTGCGTGGAGGGCACGCTAGGCGGTACAACTTGTTTTTGTCAACTCATGAATTGCCAAGTCCACAGCTCGCGCAATCATCCCACCCTCTAACCCGCAACATGGTTGGCAAAACCCATACGGCCACAATTGCGGTTGCCGATTGGCACTTGGAAGCGCGACTTTGCGACCGCGGCGAACGCTCGCGCGCGGAGCAACCAGATGGTGTGGCACAACTGATGCAGTCGCGCTGGTTCTTGCCGATTGGAACTTCCCGACGCGTCTCAAATGCCGCGTTGGCGCGCGGGCACTTCAGTGCGGGTCGGTGGTTCGGGCGGGCGCGGTATCATGATGACGCCGACAACGGCGACAACGATGATGAGAGTAGCGATGGTTGTGGCGATAATGGCCATGACAACGGCAAGGGCAATGATGGCGCCGATGCTGGTGACGACGATGACGATGACGATGTCCATGCGTCGGCGACGACACTGATTTGCTGCTGATGGCGACAAACGAGGGCGAATGACGATGGCGATCACCACGGTGATGCGATGGCGCTGATGAGGGTGGTGGTGAGGAAGTGCCCGACCACAGAAATTCAAGACAACTGGCAGACATTGTGTTGACGAAGACGTGGCTTTTCTGATGATGTTGAAGAGCTCTATCTCCTGCATTTCCCAGGCTAGCCTCCCATATTTCTCCGACGGCCGCCTCGTCCTCAGATACAGTCAGACCCAGGCCATAAGAACATCCCTCAAGAACATGGGACCCTCCGTCGGCCCAAACAAACAGAACATCCGAGGGTACCCTCCCCGAGATGCACCAAAACGTCCAACAAGCACGAAGAACACCATGGGGGTACCCTCCCCAAACCGGCCTCGATCCTATACCCCGGTCCGACTGTCCGGTTTGGGTACGTACCCTTTTAAGCCTGCAGCCGGCGCCGTAATCTTCCTCGCCTTCCTCCCTGTCGCCGAGGCCGAGGGGGGGGGAGGGGCGGCGAGGCGGGGAGGGGGGCCCGAGGGGGGCGTCGAGGGCCGTCGGCGCCGAGCCGCGCGTGCGCGCGCTGCCGCCCTCGCGGCAACACACGGAGTAGCCGCGCGACCAGTGTTGGAGAGCGCCAGCTGTGCACCTGCAGCCATCCTGCCCATAGAAACAACCAACGATCCATATACATATACATATATACAAGTGTGTATATATAGTGCATATATATATACACATGTGTTGTGTGTAGATGTGTGTGCGCGTGTGCACATACACTTTGTGGAACATCCGAAAGTTTCTGCGCCATTGCGCCGTTGTTTGATTCTCTGAGCGCACCGATCCTGCCCAGGCCGATCCTGGGCCCAGGGCCGGCGCATGCCGCGACCCTGGCCTGGCCGGGGAAGGACGGCGCACGAGCCAACCCCCGGCCCGAGGCGAGCCTGGCCAGGATCGGTGCAGGCGTCTAGCTGCCGCCCTCCAGCACGACCCGGGGGGGGGGGGCGCCGGCCGCGCACCTCGGCATCGCGAGGCCTCCAGGGGGCCTTCGGCCCGAAGGAAACAGGTCCCGGAGGCCAAGGGGCCCCGGGTTCCTGGGTCGACCTCGGGCCCTCCACGGCCCTGGGCCCCCGAGGAGACGGCTGGCGAGGGAGAGCTGCTCCTGGGGGAGGCCCTGGTTCCTGGGGACCGTTTCCCTCGGGGCCCCTCCTCCGCTCCTTCCTGGAGGACTCCTCGCCCTCCTGGCGAGGCCTCCTGGAGGGCTCCCTGCTTCCCTCCTGGAGGACCCCTCGCCTTTCCGGCGAGGCCTCCACGCCGGAGGAGCCGCCCTCCAGGAGGGAGGGAGAGGAACGGGAGCTCCGAGAAGCTGACGTCGAGCCTCCGCTCCCAGAGGTCTTGGGGCCTCTGGAGGAACACAGCACGGGGCCCAAGAATGTACACCACCACCACCACCTCCCTCACCCCCTCCCTCGCTCAGGAAAGAGGAGGGGAAAAGGATGGTGGAGGAGGGAGGTGGAAAGGAAGTGGTGGTGGTGTATACTCTTGGGGCCCGCACACAGTCGAAGCATGGCTGCAAGAAAGCGGGTCAAGCACACGAGCCCCGTCCCCATGGGCCCGCGGGCCCATGGCGGTGCTCCGAACGGAGAGATCTCCAATGTGGAGAGTCCGAGATGGGAGAAGATGGGTGCAAATCGTCGCCCTACTATGAGGAACGCCGGACAAGAGACGGAGAGTAAGACGAAACCAGAACCGGGACTAGATCGAATCGGGAGAAATCGGGGACCTGCAAGATCTAACGGCTTTGGAGGATCTACTGGGCGCCGCGGCCGTTCCAAAGCGCTACGGAATGCTCTGAGAGCACTCCGGAACGCTCTGGAACTGATTTCTCCCCGTCCTTGCGAGGCGGGGACTTATCCATATCCACCACCTGGGAACCGACGTCCTGGTGCCCCAGCGGGCGGTGGATATGGATACATTTCGGCCCCTGGGGGCCCGAATATGTCCATATCCACCGCCCGCCGAGGCTCCGAAAACCGACCCCTAAGGGGGCCTTTTTGGCCACGGCGAGCCTCGGCCCAACGAGCGGGCCCCCCGCCCCGAAGCCCTGAGGAGCGGTCCGGAAACGGGAGCCCCTCCTGAGCCTGAGACGGCCCCATCAGCGCCTGCAGGTCACCCAACTTTGCGCGCCAGGCACCGCGATGCGCGGTCATCTTTGCGCCCTCGCATGCTGGCGCCGCCCCTTCCCCCCGCTGGAGAGCAGCAGTCGCTCTGGCCTGGGCCACGACGCAAGAAGCATGCTGATCTTCGCGCCCCCGCAGGTGATCTAGGCGTCTTGACTGCATTCATCGATCGGAAGAAGTGCGGGTAGAAGCATGAGGCAGGAAGGCGTTGAGAAAGAAGATTGCTTCCCGCCCGCCCCATACAGAGGAATGACAATGGAGGACCACTCGAAGACTGCAGCAGGAAGGCGCCCAGAGTAGGTTGGAATCTTGGGATCCCCAGGTACCTCATTTCAACTACCCAAGAGGGACCCCTCCAGAACTGGGGCTGCGCTTGACCCTCGCGCCAGCTGTCCAGTCGGCGTCCCCTCCCCCCGCCCCCAGAGGCGGTCGAGACGACCCGCGCCGCCCCGGCCCCACGGAAGGCGAAGGCGCGCGCTGCCCGGGCACCGTCGGCGAATCCGAGCGCGGCCGAGATCAAGAGGAGAGGGAGCGCCGAGGGGGAACGGCGGGGGGGGGGAGACTGGCTCAGGGGGGGGGGGGACCAGTGACCTGGAATCGGCGGTACATCGCCGAAACGCACGTGCCTGGGCGGGGCCCGGGCCACGCTTCGTGATGAGTGGGCGAGGTGGGGGCCGGTGCCTCCCCTCCAGGAGGAGGTTCCGCGCATCGTGGCCCGAGGGGCCAGGGGACGCGCGGAGAGAGGAAGGGGCCGTGATGTCCACCCCTCCCCCTAGACAAGCGCGTTCCACCACTCGCAAAGCAACTGCTCGCAAAGTGGCCTGGGTCCGCCATGGGGGATCTGTGATGCATCACATCGGGGCAGGCCTGTGCCCTTTCGGACGTTTGCGGGTACGCACTTTGCGAGTAGAGGAACGCGCTCGGTGACTCCTGGTCCTTACCCCCCTCCTGGGCGCCCCCGTCGAAAGGGTCGGAGGACTAGCTGCGCGACAAATGCCGGGTCGCGGAGTGTCGCGGGTGCAAGAGCAAAGCAGCTGCCGCCCCTGCTCTCCGCCCTCCGGCTCCTCCCTGCCCTCCCCCGACCCTGCACCGCCCCTCCTCCACGCGGCCTGCCTGCACAGCTCATGCAGGCCCGACAGGGTTGGCGCGGAGGCGTACGAAGACGGCAAGGCGGCGCGCACGCACACAAGCGATGCCGGTTGCTGCCCTGCGATTGCCGAGACGGCGAGACACGAGCGCCGAACAATGCCATCGGAGGAGTCGGGGACAGGGCAGAGCAACCTGCTGAGACGAAGCCTGGGCGAGGGTAAATTCGGGTGATGGCGAATCGAGATTCTCTGAGATCTGGCGGCCATGGAGGATGTCTCGGGCGCCGCGGCCTTTCTCAGAGCGTTCTGGAACGCTCTGAGAGCGTTCCAGAACGCCCTGGAACGGATTTATCCTCGTCCTAGCCCCGTCCGCCCTACGCACTACGACAGTGTGGTCTGCGCGTGAGGGTGGAGTAGCGCTGGCTTGTAGCGCAGGGGCACAGGAGAGAACGGCAAAACGCGGCCCAAAAAGTGGGGTGCCGTAGCCGCAGCTTTTCGCCGCAGACGCGGACCCAGCGGGGACATTGCATGCAGCTTGTAACTGGTCAAAGCGAGACAGCATGAATTCGAACACAATTCACAGGACCTGCTCCACGTGAGCAGGCGGGCAGAAGTTACAGACTCGTTCAACCAACACGAAGATAGCGAAGAGCCTACGTTTCTGCCGACAGGGGCCAGGGTGCCCGATGGAGCCGTCCAGCTCGGCGGGAGGACTTACCTTCGGTGGGTCGGGCGTGGCCAGAGGTGTCCCTCGCCCCAGGTGGACTCCTTCGCGCCACTCTGGGGGCCCTCGGGGCCTCGTGAGGGGTGTGCTCTGGAGGCCGCCTGGGCCTCCCAGGAAGTCCCGGGGGCACCTCTGGCCAGAGACCGCGGGGGACGCCTCCAGCAGCACCCGGAGAGGGGGGACGCGCGGAGCGCCGAGCGGGCAGACAGCCGCACAAGCGAGGATCCGAGCAGCAGCGCTGGCAGGCGGCAGCAGGAGCTGCGTCGGCAGCAGCGTTCACTTCGGCATGTTCGGCCGCTGCAGTGTTCGTCGGCATTCTCGGCATCTTTGTGGTCGCTAGTACGCCTGAACTGGAGGCTTTGCTGGTCAGTCATTTCGCGACGTCTTCATGTACTGTACTCCTGTCGTTGGTTATGTTCCTCGCGCTGGTCGTCTGCGTCACTTGTGTGCTATATGTGCTTGACGTTCTGCTAGATCGCCAATTGTAATGCTATGTCGGTACGCCCCGTATTCGTCTAGCCACCACTGCGCCGAAGCATGACCGTCATTGCAGTGGCGTGTCGTGAACAGGAAACAATAACGTTACGTTGTAGTTCGTCAGTGCTCTGCCATCCTGTAGCGGTTGGAGCCTTTCGGTTTCAGGAGAACCCGCCACCATACCCCGAGGCACGAGTTGGAATGTCCTCAAGTGCTTTTAACATCGAGCCCTCAGGGCCCTCAGTCTTGGAACGCTGAGAATGGAGGGTCCGGGGCCCCAGCTCAACGGGGTCGTGGATAAACCAGGGCACGGGCACGCCGGAGAATGCTGCAGCCGTGGGTCGAGACTCTCCCTCCTTCGCTCTCTCAGGGTCGGGTCCTCAAACCTCCTGGCGACACCGTTGCTCCGGCTCAACGGGGCCCTCGAGGGGTCCAGACCCCCAAATTGCCGGGTGTCCTCGGGTGTGCCGCGCGTTCCCGCAGACCTGCCCAGTTCTACGCGTTTGGAGGTCGGAAAGGGGTGTGGCATAAAGGGGTATGGTGCCAATTGAATGGCGATGATATCTGCAACAACTTCGCCAGCTTCCCCTTTGCGTGAAGTTAGCACCACACCCCTTTCTGCCATGCCCCTTCCCTACCTCCAGAACGCGTGGCTGACCGGGGCCCCCCGGAGCCGGGCGGAGCCCCCGCCGGCGGAGAGCGCTGGCCGCGGCGGCCCCCCCGCCTCCAATCACGGCGCGGGCCTGGCGGTGTGGGACACCGCCGCGGCCGCCGCCGCGCGTTCGTGGGGGCGTTCGCCTCGGGGACGGCAGGGCGACGGCGACGGCGACGAAGGGGCCTTGTCGGCCCGTCTTGGGGCCCTCTCGGGCCGTCTTGGGGCGCTCTTGGCGGCCTTGTCGACTGTTTTCAGAAGATTCGGCCTCTTAGATCGTCTTGGGCCGTGGGGAGCCTGAAGTGAGAACCGTGAAAACCGGCAAAAACACATTGACAAGAACAATGTTTGTGGCCCTGTGAAGCCCTCTTGAAAGCCACCTGGAGGGCCTCTAGGCCTCGAAGGCTGTCTTGGGTCCGTCTTGGACAACTTCGACGCCATCATAAGTCGTACTGGAACGCTTTTGGGCGGTCTTGGGCTCTCTCGGCGCGCTCCTGGAGCCCTCTCAGACCTCTTGGAAGCCTTCCGGGGCTGGGGCCCGTGTCTTACACTCTCCGCGATGACGGGCGTGATCGGGGCGAGGGGGGGGGTGCTCCCCCCCCGATCACATCACGGCGGGCTTCGGCCTCCCAGGCCTTTCTCGAGCCCCCAGGCCCTCGGGAGGAGGAAGAGAAGGAGGAGGGAGAGGGAGCAGAGGAGACGGACCCCCGAGCCCGAGGAGGAGGATCAGGAGGATCCCAGAGGCCTCCCCCTCCCCATCCTTCACGTGTCCCCCCAATCGGGGGCTTCGAGTGTCATCGGAATCGTCATCGTCGTCGAAGTCGTCGTCATCGTCGGAATGTTCGTCGTCGTGGTCGTCCTTGGCATCGTCGTCGTCCAATCGGAGTCGTGGGAGTTGTCGTCGCCCCCCTCCTCCTCCTCGTTCTCGTCATCCTCCTCCTCCTCCTCCTCCTCCTCCTGCTCCTCCTCCTCGAGTAGCTCTCCCCATCCTCCCTGTCTCCCCTCGAGGAAAAGGGGGAGCCATGCGGGGAAAACAGCGTGACGTGATCGGGGGGGAGGGGCGGGGGCGATCACGAGCGTTATCGCCCGAACTAAAAAAACAGGCTCCTGGTCGTGACCCGTCCTGGCTGTGTTTTCGGGTACTCGGAGCTGTCCCGAGGTCGTCCAGAACTCACAAGAAGGTGCCGCATTACGTGACGCTCATCTGCTTATTCCCGTACAACGGAAAGAGCGAGGTACGAGTGATGACGTTCTGGTGGGGCGAAGCCCTCTAGGGAGGGGTCCAGGGGGGCGAGGGCCGCGTGTTTGAGTGTTAACAGCCGCCGGGGGGCCGGCGCCATCCACAGCCCGTTTCCACGTATTTTTTTTTTTAATTAAGCGGCTCAAGGGCCCCAAGACGGCCCAAGAGGGCACCAAAACGATCCAAAGACGGCCCCAAAAGAGCTCCGGATGGCCTCCAGACGGTCCAAGAGAGCTTCGAGACGGCTCCAGAGACCCTCCAGATGGCCCTCGAGAGGGCCTCCCGAGGCCGAAAATATTGATTTCCATACGGTTTTTAACAATTTTTCGGGTTCTCGCCTTTTCGGGCCCAGACAGGCCCAACACGGCCCATGAGGTTCCAAAGCTCGTCCGAAGACAGCCCCCGAGGCCCCCCAAAGAGGCGGAAAACTGGATAAGAGGGCCCCCAGCCAGCCCAAGAGGGCCCCCAAACAGCCCCAGATGGCCCCAAGAGAGCCCCAAGACGGCCCCAAGAGAGCCCCAAGAGGCCCAAAAAGGCTCCCCAAGCCCCAGAGACGCCCCTAGACGGCCCCAAAGGGCCCCAAGACGGACCAGAATTGCCCGTGACGTAACAAGCTCTTGACACCAAGGCTCCGCAGAGCGCGGGGTGACATACACAGCTCGTGACACCAAGGCTCCCAAGAGCGAGCGGCAACGTAACAATCTCTGAACACCAGGGTTCCCAACGGAGAGCGGCGACGTGACAAGCTCTTCACACCAAAGCTCCCAAGGGCGCAGGGTGCCATGAGCCCTCTCGGGCCAGTTCCTGCGGCGCTCTTTCCGTTTCCGTGCTGGCCCAGGTTGCTTGGTAGGAAACATGGATATGTCTATTGGTGATCAATCGTTGGTCATACGTACCTGTTAACGTGTTGTTGCAAAGTGTTACTGCTGTCACGATTGAGCCCATTGTTGTGTCATAGAGTTTACTTGTGCTGTTGTTCATGGTCCTTGCTGTTGGTACATGTGTGTCCATTGCGTTGTCACTGTTGTTTGCCCCGCAGGGCGCATTTGTTGTACGTGTTGCATTCGCAGGGCGCATTTGTTGTAGTGTTCCCCCTCGCAGGGCGCATTGTTTGGGTATTACAGTCTCTGAGAGCGCTTCTGTTTGCTATTACCGCCTCGCGAGACGCATGCTTGATGTTAGTACGGCCTGGCAGAACGTTGCCAGGGTATATGGCCTGGAAGAACAGCCCACCTTACCGTACGAACGACCCTCTCGTATCACAAGGACTCATCCTTGTCATACGAACGACTCCCAGAATCGTGAGAACAGGCGATGCTGAGCCATAGAGCTTCAGGGTGTTAGGGTCTTGGGCCCCAGGGCCTGAGGGTCTTCACGCCTTGGGGCCTTGAAGTCTTAGGTGTTCGAGTTTTTAGGGTCTCGGGACCCAGGGGCTTCGAGTCGCATGGCCTCGGAATCTAAGGACGGAGGCTGCTTCCATGAGCCGACAAAGGAGAGGAGGGGTCTTCGAGCCGGGGAGGTCCAAAAGGAGGGGGGCCCCTCTGGCCCCCTGCTCCTTCTCCCCCCACGGAAGCTCCTATCCCCCTCCCTTTGGACCTCCCTAACCCGAAGACCCTTTCCCTTTGCCTTCGCGCCACGGAAGCTGCCCACCCCCCCGTCTTCACGGGGGCGGGGGGGGCAGCTTCCGCGGGGCGAAACAGAAAGGATGGCGAGAAAGGGCGTCGGGCGGAGGGGGCGGGCGGGAGCTTCGGTGGGCCATGGGGCGACAAGATGGGGTAAGAGGGGGGGCTTCCGGCGGGGGGGGGGTCCAGAGAGGGTGGCTCGACGTGTACCCCGCTTTGCTGCCGCCCTGTGGGTCTCCAAGTCTCAGGGCGTAGGGTATTACAGTCGTCGGGTCTTCGGGCGTCGCCCACGAGGCATCCGAGCGCCCAAAAACAGCCCCACGCCCCTGCCCTCGAAGCCTCTGCGGCAGTGACGACGTCGCCGGCAACCGACGGCGGGGCGCGGGCGGCGAACGACGACGGCGACAATTACGAACGAGCGACAACGACCGACCGACCGACGAAGGACGACGAGCACGACGAGGACGAGGAGGAGGAGGACGACGACGACGACGAGGACGACGACGACGACGAGGACGACGAGGACGACGAGGACGACGAAGACAAGGACGACGAGGACGACGAGGACGAGGACGACGAGAACGACGAAGACGACGGCGCCGAAAGCGAGACCCCGACCGAGACCGAGGCCGAAGCCGGCCGACGACGGCGACGACGAACAGCGGCGGCGCGGGCCGTGCTCGCCGTTGCCGTCAGCGCAAACGTCCGCCGGCGCCGTCCCCGCGGCGGCGCCGGCGGCGTGGCCAAACAGGGGCTCCGCCATGGCGAGCGAGTCGCGGTGGCGCTTGCTGACGCGCACGGCGGGGAGCCTCTTCCTGCGGCACCTCCTCCTCCTCCTTTTCTTCCTCCTCCCTCTCCTCTTCTCCCTCTCCTCCTCCTCCTCCTCCGTCTCATCCTCCTCCTCCTCTTCCTCATCCTTCTCCTCCTCCTTCTCCTCCTCCTCGTCCTCTTCCTCCTCCTCCTCCTCCTCCCCCCCTCTTCTTGTGATTATTATTAGTAGTGGTAGTGTTAATATTACTACCATTATTGTTCATAGTAATATTACTATAATTATCCGTCTTACAATAATAATATTATTATTGCTATTATTAGTATCATTATGTGCATTGTTACCATTCTTATGATGAGTATCATGATGATGATTCGTATTATTATTCGCATTCGTATTATTATTACTAGAGAGAGCGCGCCCACAGCGCCGGAGCAAAGGAGGGGGGCCCCCCCATAGCTACCCTCCTCCTTTCCACCTCCCCTGCTGGAAGCTCCCCCCCCCTCCACCCCTTTTTCGCCTCCCCCCTGAAGCTAACCCCCCCTCCCCCCCCTTTCGCCACTCCGAAGCTATCCCCCCCTCACCCCCTTTCCACAGGGAGGGGGGGCTTAGCTAACCCCCCCCTCCACTTGACCCTCCTCTGCCGGAAGCTACCCCCCCTTCCCCCTTTGGTTCCAAAAGGGGAGGGCTTAGCAGTCCCTTCCCCCTCCCCTCCCTTCGGCACCCGGAAAGCTACACCCCCCCTCCCCGCCTTACGAAAGGGGAGGGGAGCTCAACTACCCCCCCCCTTTGACCCCCCTCTGCCGGAAGCCCCCGCCCCCTCCCTCAATTTTTCCTCCCCCCTGCCGGAAGCTGCCCCCCCCCCCTCCTCTCCTTTTCCAAAAGGCGAGGGGCGGCTTAGCTACCACCCCCCTCCCTTGAACTCCCACTGCCGGACGATCCTCACCCGTCGCCGTCGTCGTTGCCGTCGCCGTCGCTCGACGTCTTCGTACGACGCCGTCGTCGTCCTCGTCGTCGTCGTCGCCGCCGCCGTCGCCGTCATTGTCGCCGTCTTCGTATGACCTCGTCGTGGTCGTTACGACGAGGACGAGGTCATACGAAGACAGCGACGGACAACGGACGACGCACGACTGACGACCGACCACGACGACGACCCAGGGTCAGAGAAAACGAGACCACGACCCAGGGTCAGAGAAAACGAGACCACGACCCAGGGTCAGAGAAAACGAGACCACGGCCCAGGGGCTGAGAAAACGAGAAAGTGAAGCAGGGTCAGAAAAAACGATCCAGGGGCCGAGAAAACAAGACCACGACCGAGGGGCAGAGAAAACGCGAAAACGAACTAGGGTCCGAGACAACGAGACCACGACCCAGGGTCCGACAAAACGAGTCAACGGGAAAACAAATCAGTGCCCGAGAAAACGAAACCACGATCAAAACGAAACAAAACCCAAAGCCGAGAAAACGAGAAAACGAAACAATGAACCAGGGTCCGAGAAAACAAGATAACGATCCAGGGGCCGAGAACACGAGAAAACGAGAAAACGAACCAAGGTCCGAGCAAACGAGACCACGAACCAGGGCGAGAAAACGCAAGCATCGGTCCGAGAAAACGAGACCACGACACAGGGGCCGAGAAAACGAGAAAACGAACCAGGGTTCGAGAAAACGAGACTACGACCCAAGGGCCGAGAAAACGAGAAAACAAACCAACGTCCGAGAAAACGCGACCACGACCAAAGGGCCGGAAAAACAAGAAAACGAGAACACTAAACAGGGTCCGACAAAACTGGACCACGACCCAGGGGCCGACAAAACAAGAAACGAGAACACGAACCAGGGTCCAAGAAAACATAACCACGACCCAGGGGCCGAGAAAAAGAGAAAACAAACCAAGGTCAGAGAAAACATAACCGCGACCAAAGGGCAGAGAAACCGAGAAAACGAGAAAACGAAACGGGGTCCGAGAAAACGAGACCACGGCCAAATGGGCAGAGAAAACGCGAAAACGAACAAGCAAACCAGGGTCCGAGAAAACTTGACCACGACCCAGGGGCCGACAAAATAAGAAAACGAGAAAACGAAACGGGGTCCGAGAAAACTGGACCACGACCCAAGGGCCGAGAAAACGAGGAAACAAGACAACGAACCAGCGCCTGGGAAAACGAGACAAACAACAGGGGCCGAGAACACGAGAAAACGACCCAGGGGCCGAGAACACCAGAAAACGTGAAACGAACCAGGGTCAGAGAAAACTAGAAAACATTAGGCAACGACCCATGGGCCGAGAAAACGAGAAGACGAGAAAACTAACCAGGGTCCAAGGACACATGAGACCACGACCCAGGGCCGAGAAAACAAGAAAACGCGAAAACGAACCAGGGCCCGAGAAAACGACACAAGCACCCAGAAGCCGAGAAAACGAGACAACGAACCAGGGTCCGAGAAAACGAGACCACGACTCAGGGGCCGAGTACACTAGAAATCGAGAAAACGAACCAAAGTCCAAGCAAACGAGAACACGACCCAAGGGCGCAGAAAACGCGAAAACAAACCAGGGTCCGAGACAAACGAGACTACGAACCAGGGGCCGAGAAAACTAGAAAACATTAGGCAACGACCCATGGGGCCGAGAAAACGAGACCGCGACCCAGGGGCCGAGGAAACGAGAAAACGCGAAAACGACCCACGACCCAGGGGCCGAGAAAACAAGAAAACGAGAAAACGAACCAGGGTTCGACGAAACCACGACCCAGGGGCCGAGATCACCAGAAAACGCTTGGCTCGAGAAAACGAGACCACGACCCAAGAGCCGAGAAAACGAGGAAACGAGAAAACAAAACAGGGTCAGAGAAAACGAGACCACCACCCGGGGGCCGAGACAACGAGAAAACGGGAATACGAACCAGCGTCCGAGAAAACAAAACCACGACCCAGGGTCCAAGAAAACGAGACCACGACCCAGGGGCCGAGAAACGAGAAAACGAACCAGGGTCAGAGAAAACGAGACCGCGACCCAGGGGCCGAAAAAACGAGAAAACAAGAAAACGAACCAGGGGCCGAGAAAACGAGAAAACGGTAAAAAGGAATCAGGGCCCGAGAACGAGACTACGAACCAGGGGCCGAGAAAACAAGACAACACGAAAACGAACCAGAGGTCGTCGTTATTCTCCTATGCGTTCTCTAGCGCTGCGGTGCGCACCTGTTTGGGAGGGAGGGGGGGGTAGCTTCGGAAGCCCCCCCCCCTCCCTTGCAAAGGAGGGTGGAGGGGGATTGCTTGAAGCAGCCCCCCTGTGCCCAGACCAAACAAGGAGAGGGGGGGGTAGCTTCCGAAGCCCGCCCCCCTTTGAAAGGAAAGCCCGGGCCCACCTTCTGCTCCGGAAAAAAGGAGGGAAGGGGGGGATAGCTTCGAAGCCCCCCCCCCTTTAGCTAGGGCCCCCCCTTGTTTAGAAACCCTTACAGAAGGGAGGGGGGGGGTAGCTTCGGAAGCTCCCCCCCCTTGTGTAAGGGAGGCGGGGGGGCAGCTTGAAGCTTGGCCCCCCCTTCCCTTATTTCTGGCTCTGCGGGCTCGCTGTATCAATGTTATTATTACTTATTTTCATATTTTATTATTACATGATTCTTATTATTGTAATTATTATTGGTCCGTTCCTGATGACTATTCCTTTGTAGTTTTCGTCTTTATGCATTCGCATGGTTCCTATTATCAGTATTATGTTCCGCTTTCGTTGTTTATTATTATTGGTATTATTCTTCTTATTCGTATCATTATGTTGCGTAATATTGTTATTGTGCTGTTTACAAATTATTAGTATCAGTATTGTGTTGATTGTTCTTAGCCTTCGCATTCGTATTCTTGGTATTCTTACTATCATGACTATTTTTCTTAGTTTGATACATATCATTGTTCGTGTTATTCATATCATTAATACTGTTGTTAGTGTGATTGTCATTCGTCTTCTTCTTCTGAGTACTACAATCCGTGATAACAATACAAACCTTGCTCTTATTATTAGTATTATTCTCAATCGGAGGTTGGGGGGGTGAATCCGACGTGAAACGAAGACCCCCCCTACCGGGGAATCGATTTCGGATTCGGGTTCGTGTCGTGCGTGCTGTGCGTGCGTGTGTGCGGGCGAGGCGAAGCTGCGTGGGCGGGCGAGAGGAAATCCTCCTGTGGCTGGGCCGCGGCCGGACCAAATGTTCCTCCTCCGGCGGCCGGTGGCCCGCGGTGTCCCGCCGGTGGCCCGCTGGTGTCCCGAAATGCTCCTGTGGCTGGGCCGCGGCCGGACCAAATTATTCCCCCCCGGCGGCCGGTGGCCCGCGGTGTCCCGCTGGTGTCCCGTGGTGTCCCATTGAGTGAGATCGATAGTGAGATCGATAGCGAGATCGACAGGTGTCCCGTGATGTCCCGTGGTCCCGTTGAGTAAGATCGATAGTGAGATCGATAGTGCGATCGATAGTGAGATCGATGTGGTGTCCCGAGGTGTCCCGTGCTGTCCTATGGTGTCTCTTTGAGTGAGATCGATAGTGAGATTAATAGTGAGATCGATAGTGAAATCGATAGTGAGATAGAGAAATGTCCCGCGGTGTCCCGTTGAGTGAGATCGATACTGAGATCGACAATGAGATCGACAAGTGTCCCGTGGTGTCCCGTGGTGTCCCGTTGAGTGAGATCGATAGTGAGATCGATTGAGTCACATGTTGGTTCCCCCCCCTCCCTCTCCCCCCCCACAAACTCCTTATCACCCGAAGGGTGGTCGTATAGGTAATAAGAATGCTAATAAGAACAACAATTACCGCAGTGCGACCCTACCTAGAAGTTGGAGCCCTTAGCAAAGCAGCATTAGTTGCTATGCTATGCTATGCTATGCTATGCCATGTTATGCTGCGCTATGCTATGCTATGCTATGCTATACTATGCTGCGCTATGCTATCCTATGATATGCTATGATGTGCTAATATATGCTATGTCATGCTGCGCTGTGCTATGCTAAGCTATGATATGATATGCTTAGCTGCGCTATGCTATGCTATGCTATGATA